GTCAAACCTCAAATACGGCCTCCCTAGGCCATAAACAGGAACCTTGGTTTTTGTTATGGTCTAGTGGAAAGTACGCTGTATTTCGTTCAACATAATAGCCTGCCCCTGCCTGTACCTGTCAAGTGGAATCTGATACGTTATGACCTGTTCCTACCAGTCATCTCCTATCATACCGTCCTGCTAGCCCGCACCCTGACAGTGTTTACACTATTTATAGTGCTATAGCACTGTAGTACCGAACCAGGTGTCTGGTGCTGCCGTAGCACTGGTGCTGCGGGACTTGTAAGGCCTAAGTAAACCTAAAAACAATTAATTTAAATCGTATTAGTGTGAATACATAACTATAATAAATACCTAAGTTATTACATAAAGGCTTCTAAAGCTTATTTCTAACCCTAGTTAAAAAAGTGATAGTAGTATTATGTTATTACATATATAATTAAATTAATTAAAAATATAGAGAAAAATTGTATAAATAATATATATCACAAGGTTAAGAAATTCTGCTTACTAAAAAGGCCTATAGGCGCCCACGACGCCCGGGGCCCATTTCCCGCTTATACAAGGCCCGTGGGCAATGCCCACCCGCCCGTCTATAGGCGATATCGCAGTCTAGTTGTAATACAGAAGGTTTACTAATATATGATAACACCAGTTAGTTAATGCCATTTAACTAAAGTTATAATTGGATTAAGAAATGGTATACATTGCACAATGTCTCCAATGGTAGCTATAATGACGCAGTAAAGAAGCAGTACAACAGTGGTAAAGGACTGATTGTTTAGTGGAAATAAAGCAAAGTGTGTGGATACTGAGAAGTGGAGAAGAACTGAGGCAGAAATGCATAAACACGTATTTTATTATGACCCCGCCTACCGAACAAGACTAGTTCCAATTAGGTAATTTTTCAAGTTCACTGTCAGTGGAGTAGTGTAGTTACCGTCGGTGGGACCTACCTTCTTAACTGGAACCCGGTATTGTACCATTGGTTTTGACACAATCTATTGGTCGTCCCATGCATTGTTGAAACTATAGATTTGTGTCACATCATATCCGTCCCTTTGCTAGTCCAATTTATACGTCATTGTTGCATAGTATGTACCTACTCGCCCTTCTCCTCGCTTTATGGAAAACCACAACTTTTGAGAAACACACCAGAGACACAACCACAGAGACACAATCACGAAGACACGGGCACAATGATACAACTACAAAGACACAAGCCCACCACCACAAAGACTTGATGGCTAGCAACCTCCTTAAACATGCTGAAGAAGCAGATACTTCCACGCTACACACTATCGGGCATGGGTTTTGCGGCACCGTTTGGGCATCTGAGGCTGGTTCCGCGTTCAAAAGGGAGGATGGTGGACCTGATCGATCTTTGAGAAACGACTTTGAAATGCACCACCGAACAATCCAAAGCTTCCAAAAGATCCATACCCTACAAATCAAAGTGCAGATTCCGGCATGCTATGATTTTATCACGATAACGGACCAGAAATGGTGGTCTGTAAATCATCGGAAATTTCCACCAGGCTATACGTCACCATGCAATATGATCCAGTCCCAACGTATACCTCCTTTCTCTGATGCTATACGACAACTTATTATTAAGAAGTACTGTCCACCAAAGATCATACGAGAGATCACTGCTAGCGATCCTAATAAGGACTGCTTGGTAAGGCCTTACCTCGGCCGAAGGCGAACACGAAAGCCCTATACCACGTCGCAATTCATAGCGTTTTCTCTACGGAACTTCCCACTTTATCTTGACCAATTCGAAGAACTGGTATGATAACGAGCGATTTGAGCCAGTACGTAAGAGCTATGGCCGAAGCTCTCGCTACAATGCACTGGGTTGGCGAGATTGATGGGAATGATATTGAGTTTGTTCTTGCACCGCCTTACAAGGATCCTCTTAAATGGAGTATAATGCCCTTGGAGACCATTCGATATGGGTTCTAGACTTTGATTTATGTAGGAGGATGACAATGGATTCAAAAGGAGTGGAATAAGCTGCTGCTGCCTTTTGGGGCAATGATCCTTATTATCCCCGGCCAGGCATTGAGAGGGATTCTTTATTGTGGATTGTTTTTCAAGAACGTTACCTCTAAATTAGTGAAACATACATTGACATTTTGAATGAGCCACACGAGGCAGAGAGACGCGCTCTATCAAGGCAGTTGATTTAGTTGGTAGAATAGGAATGGAAGGCGAGGCAGATGGGAATGGAAAAAGAGAAGAAAGCAGATCTGAATTAAGTTCACAAATTTCAAGCTTGAGTGTTTCCAGGTTAGCATTGATGCGTAAATGCTTGTCCATGATATAGCTTAATGTCCCTAACGTAGAATCTCACATCCCCATCACAACCCTTCGTTCTCAACTCCCACCTTCGATACCACAACTGACGTTCAACCCTTAAACAATCTCGCTTCTTGACACTGTCCTTTGCCTAATTCTACGTGAGTATCCTCGACCCCTACCTAAGGCCATTTTGAAGCTGAGTCTTATGTGACTTAGAGCCCACGATGTCTTCCCGCAGAGAAGCCCAGAAAACCGACGAGACCGTGGAGTCACGGGTCAGTTACCTAGCCGTTGCAATCGAAGGAAACCTCCAGCTTGAAAAAAAGCTTGAAGAAGAAGATTCTACTCCACAAGACCTCCTTCGTCGACTACTTTCTGCTAAGTCTGCAATCTCAACAACTTCTTCTTTTGCTAGGGCCCAGCAAGCAGCTATTGGCACTAGAGCTCCATTCCGAGAGATCGGCATCGGCTCTACAGGCAGAGTATTTGGGCAGCCTGGAACCCCGTGGGCGTAAAAAGTCCTACTCCTTGACCGCACAGAGAAGCTCTGGAACAACTATATTGTACAACTCCGGGTTCAATAAAGCTTCGATTTACTCGGGGAGCTTGCTACTTCGTTAGAGGTGCATCGACCTGCCTGGTTTTCAACAAAACCTCAATGTTATGGGAAGAGAATATAGACTGGTTTCCCGACGAGTCAACGTTTCCTCGACGGCCACGAGAGGTCTTTTGCATGGAGCAAATTTTTCCTCTGCCTGATAAGATTAGACATGCCCTGATTGATGCGTTCTGCAACCCGGCCATTGCCTCGAAAGTGAAAGCAGACCCTGCTGATAAGGACTGCCTCGTCCGTGCCCTTTTAGGACGCAGGCGCTTCGGAGTATTACGGCCAGGTGGGAGCAGGTTTTCCTCGCTTAGGGACTATAAGCTCCATGTGGACCAGGTCCAAGAGCTGGGCCTAGATGCCGAAGAGTACGCGAGAAGCATGGCAGATGATCTCGCAATCCTGCATTGGCATACTAAAATCGATACCATGGACATTGATTTTGCATTGGGCGGCACCCTTCTAGATCGCAATGCTGTGCGGCGTGTACTGCCACTCAAGGATGTAGAACGGCTTGTCCCTGACTCTAGCACGTATGAGCATACTACAAAGGCCGATCCCAATTTCAAGAGACGAAGTGTTAGTTTATAGATTATGGACTTTGACGCACGTAGTCCTATTACCAAGGATAATGCAGGGGTTCAAAAAGCCGTGAAAGCCTGGTTCGAGACGGATCCCTTTTGCCCGCGGCCGCATTCGGAAGATGAATACATGCAGAACTTATGGATGATATTGTCAGAACAATATATTGCAACTGGCTGAAAAAAATTGCAACTGGAAAGACGTCTCGGGTCTTACCTGCAAAATTCATCGAGGGGATCATGGGTGAGTTTGCGCACCGTGCAACTCAGGCAGGGAGCAGCAAACGGCGCCACTAGGACGGTCACGTGACAGGTCATGTCCGAACAGAAAAAGTTCCCCGGGAAGACAACAACGTCGGATCCTCAGCCAAACCCATCATAAATCTCTATCCTTTGAATCATGGTCCACTGCGAACGGGCTTCAAAGCCTCTACTCCAATGCCTTCGCAACACCTACTCTAGAGGCGTGGCTGGTGTCCAGCTCCAAACACGAGCTTTCCAATCGACTGCCAGCGTTCGAGAGCCCGAAGCTGAAACTCCGAGCAAACCTTTCCACAAGGCACCCGATCCCTCTCTTGTGACGAGTCCTCGTCTTGAAAGACGATTGCTCCGACAGGGAACTGCCCCCATTGGATCTCGTCGTCGCCGTGCCGCGCTCCAAGATTCAGAAAACCTTCCTTTCGAACAACTGCCTTACCAATGTTTCCAAGAAGCCCGGAAGATTTTGCTTGCGGACCGCGAAGAGAAATTGAAGGAGATCGAGACAATGAGGCAACGCCTTGCCAGACAAGAGGCTTTGTCTGTCGAGGAGGCCGGAGGAGCAAAGGCGAAGAAGTCCCGCGTTACTGCGATGCAATTACACCTGGAGCGCCTCAAGGTTTTGGCCGATATTAACGACCCCTTGGTCAAGCGAAAGTTCGAAGATAATGAAGGTAAAGGTCTCTAGATGAACCGATCACGTTGAGATGAGCCTAATTGTTCGATATCTGTTAATTCAGGTGACATGTCCAAGCCCATCTACCGCTTTTTGGCCGACCGCAAATGGCGCGAATACCGCCGCAAGATTCTCGTCCAGCGTATCACCCAGATGAACGTCATTCCTGATGTTCTGCCTCACTGCGACCCCGTCGTCGAAACAAAGTTGTACTTCGGCAAGCGACAAGTCCAAGCCGGCGAATTTGTCGAAGCAAAACTCAGCACAAGCGCACCTAAACTCGACGTGCAAATCTTTGAGGGTGGTGAAAAGCTGGTCACTATCGCAGTTGTCGACCCTGATGTCCCGAACGTTGAGAACAATAACTTTGACTACAAGACACACTTCCTGGCCGTCAACGTCCCCATCTCGGCCACCTCCACCAAGGTCGACCTCGCGCAGCTTTTGGAAGATTCCCAGGTCGTTCTCCCCTGGCTACCGCCCGTTGCTCAGAAGGGAAGTCCCTACCACCGTCTTTCTCTCTTCATTATGGAGCAGAAGGACTCCCAGCCTCTCGACTTTGCCGCCGTCAAGGCTAAGGAGAATAACCGCGAAACTACCCTCCTTCGCACTCTCCAGTCCCGTTACCACCTCAAGGCCATCGGTGCTCACCTATTCCGTTCCCAATGGGACGACACGACCCTGGAGGTCATGAAGGAAATTGGATTCGATGGTGCCAATGTGGAGCTGCGTCGCAAGAGAGTCGAGCCTCTGCCATATAAGAGACGTAACCCCTCTTCGTTCCGCTGATCTCGTTTGTCTTCAAGCCTTTGTATTGTACAATTTGATATATGTATGAATATGCACACTGTTTTAATCCCTTCCAACCAAACTCCATGCGTATGCTTAAACAAGTGGACCCGAGTGCCAGGCGTCGGCAAACTGTAATCCACTTTCCTGGTATAATGTACACTGTATAATCCTCAAATGTTCTGAACGTTCTGGGAATCCAGTTGCGCCGGTTGCAACGGATTGGTCACCCACTCCATCTTCGACAGAGGCCATACCCTAGCAATGATCTTTCCATTGATGAGACCCATGGGAACTGGACCGTAGTTCCTCGAATCCCTAGACCAGGGAAGATTGTCACCGGCCAGAAAGACGTGACCTTCGGGGATCTGTATAAAGATCGCAAGTCAACAATTGAATCCAACCGGAACCAAAACACACAACCCACCTGAATCATATTCCCCTCCTTGCCAACACCCGTACTAAGCGGCTTGTCTTGACAGACAAAATCCCCAGGCATTCCAACTACCCGCTTGGCCACATGCACGCCTTGGAAGTTCGGGTGGCCATATCGTACGACGTCTCCGACTTTGATTCCTTTTCCATTGCGGTGGACGCGCGATATCAGGAGCCAGTCGCCTCGCACGTCGAAGGTGGGGTACATCGACGGGCCCTCGCTGAGCTGGACGGTTATCAGATGCTCCCAGATCAGCGCGCAGGCGCAGAACGTGCTGGTGCCATTAAGCGCGAGCCGGCCAATGGTGCGCAGATTGGTACCCTGTATTAAAGACCGAATTAAGTGCTCCATTTGTGGTGAATTGGAAGCATGGTCTTGCTCAGAGCGAGCTGCTTTAACTGTTCCGCAGTTGATCGTGATCGGTCATGTGACCACACGGAGCCTTTTAAGCGCGTTTTTTTTGGCTCCACGTCTTCCTCTTTTCTCATCATCACTCAATCTCTGTGTCATGAACCAGTGATTGAAAGAATCTTGCCGTCGTGTTGAATTTGATATCCAGGAGCCTTCCAGCTCTATCAGCTGCCCATTAATGTTTGGGTGCTGGGCTGAGAAGGACCTGGATTTTTTTAAATCTCGATTATTCTGAGTGCCTCTACTCTCACTAGAGCTGCTCCAACAGTCGATTAATTTTACATTGACTCCCCATACCCCTTCCACCTACCCCCTATCCCTCTCGGGATGTTCGCTTCTCCAAATGCTAGAGCTTGCCGTCGCCGAAATACATAACCAGGACGAGCACGTGTGGACAATGAAGCAAGATGAACACAACCAGGCAATCTTGTCAGATAGCCTGTCCCCCAGTGTGTCTCACTTTGACCCCATTTCGTTATGGGACTGGGTTCTTGAGACATGCATAGTGGGGAGACATCTCAGTTAGACAATTCCTAATCATTTTCAATTACTCATGCTCTCTCAAGTTCTTAAATAGCCTCCTTGACGCAACATCAATGAGAGTCTTTTTCTGCCTGAATCAAAGTGACTTTTCGCACCACGAATCAGCATCTAGGAACCTCGTCAGTCGAAATACAAACAAGCAAAGCCAAGTAACAAACATGACACATACCGGGATGCTTCTCAACCGGCTTGATGCCCTCCCTCTTCTTCGCCTTCTGCCGATGATCCACCCCATACCTCTTGTTCCGGTCCTCCAGCAAAGAATCCAACCCCGCAGGATGCGCCATCTTCACGCTCTCATTTGATACAAAGCTACCCATCAGCTGCGGCGGACCTAGAGGCACAGGGTCTCCACGATCAACCTGCCAAAAATGATAAGTCTTGCCATAGATAGGCGCAACATCGTGCATCTCTGCCGTTTCGGCAGCTTCCCACACAGCATCGGGCACACCAGCCGGTGCTGGCATGACCAGCATGCCGCTGTTTACCTCGAACTCGTGTGTGTGCCAGAGCTTACGCTCTTCGGTAGGAAGAGTCGCGAAAATCCGGGGCGAAACCATGTATTCCACGCCGATGAGGCGGGCGTTTGGCTTGGGCGAGTCGTAGACTAGGCACTGGCGGATATCTGGGTGAAATATTAATGCTCGGCTCGTGGATTATTCGGTTGCTTTGGCTCCAAACATGGGATGTTGCTACATACCCTCTGTTAAATGAGTGCAATAGTGATCGGCCTCGACACATCGGGTTGGATCGTTGGCGTAGATGTGGAATGCATTGAGATGTGCGCAGATTTGTTTTACGGGCGTGAAGTCTTGGATCATGGCAGCTCCGCTCTCGAGGACTCGACTCTTCATTGTCCGGGGATCACCTGGGAGTTCATTTCCATTGCCGCAACAGGTCTTTCCGGGGGTTGACATTTTGTAGCCGACTATTGAGTTCGAAGGGTGTATTCGTGAATTGTTAATGAGTGTTAACGGAGTCTTCAAACGACACACAGGCTGGAACTAGTACTTGAATAATTACATCCGGGCAAGTTTCCATTTGACGTCACAATGATTGCTTCCTTTTTGGGACTATTGACGATTACCCGTGGACAGCTACTTGGAAGTGACTATGTAGTTGAGGAATTCGGTGTATTTCAAGTTGGAGCATACTGTGTATTATTATTATTCTTATGGGACTGCGTGAACTGCGCCTCTGATATTTTGGACTTGATCTGCCTCGATAACTCAAGCGGTAATCTCCTTTTGCGCCAACAAGTCATAAGTTGGAGCCTTCCTCCCATCAAAATTGCCCCGGCCATCAAAACGGTGCTGATCTTTCTTCCGTTGACAATAAGCCATTGCTTCATTGCGCACTATGTTCCACTCAAGCATCCTTGTACCTAAGCCCTTGCGATCGGCTTGGAGCGTTTCCAAAGCCTCCTTTACCCACGCGACACAATTCCATCCTGGTCGACTCTGTCGGATAGGCGTATTGCGCATAATTTCGGCTACCTGATATCCATCCAGCACCTTGCCAATCATGATACGAACCAGGAACATGCTAGTAGCGGTAAGTGAACACTCCAGCTCTTCGAAGTACCACTCAGAGCCCCCTCCCAACTTTGGACTCTCTTTCGCATGGTAACAGAACCCCGTGCTATTCTCTCTCTCAAATTTAGGCCCTACAACCAGGGACCAATGGTACCTAGTCCAGAGATATGGTATTAATCTTGCTGGTTGCTTTTAAGCTAAACAACATCATGAATGGTGATCTCACGTGTCTTCTTTGCCTGGCATGGTTGGTCTTCCTCCTCGTGCATGGAGAACAACATATATCCGGTCTTTATTAGAGGGCATTGCAAAGTAACGATGACCAAGATGGCAAGATGTTCTGCTGATTCGGACCGATGATTGCTGAATCGATGGACGTAATGGGATCTACGGATATCTTTATAGTTTCGGGGCTCAATATCTGCTCATAGTTTTACCCAAAGCTATAGGCGCTCTTGACTCCGGTGTGATGTGATTCAGGTTGCAGTAGATCTTCTGACGGCACCTCTTAAAAATATAACCAAATTGGGCACCTTGCTCGGATATGTCGTAGGTTGAACCCAAAGAAAGGGGGCCAATAGCATTTGCAGAAATTCCAACCCAACACTAAACCCTGTAGCAGTAGGGCACAAAAATAGACAGAAGATACAGATGTTGTATGGTGTACTCCGTAGTCATCCTGGGGGTCCGGGCGACCGATGCACCAAGGTCAGCTGATTACACACCACGTGGGCAGCCCCTCATGAGCTGCAGCTACACCACATCAACCTTCTCTTCCCTTTTTCTTCTAACGTGACCACTATCAGCATGCCCCTTGCTACAACAAGAACCACCCCAGGGCGAGAACTTGACTTCGTTCTGGTGGTCCTGCTTTAGCTTACATTTCACCGGTACCCAGTGCTACACGATGACCCCACCAACATCTACAAAAACCCTCTACAAACCCTCTCAGTCCCGGCATCAAGCGCTACAGTGACAAACTCTCAAGTAGCACCGATATTGAGTGCTTTTAAGACGGCTCCATCAATACAAATGATGCCAGTATCCAGTGACCCCAGAATGCCTTACTACAGCTAAACCCAACCCCGTCCTCACTGCAACCAGCAAGAGCCGTGAGGCTTTCGTCGCCAACACCGCCCATTACAAACATCGAAATGAACACTATAGTGCACTCAATAGCGATGCCACTTCGACGACTCCCTCCCGATAACCAAGGCGTATCAGGTACCAACGCCGCACACCTAGAGAACACCCTGCCGAAAACTAAGCTGCTTAGTCCTCCAGGCTATGATTCTAGCGCACATTGTCTGCGACTAATGTCTTGGACTTGATTGCTTTTGATGTTCCACTATAGTCTCGCTACGCTCTGACGCTATGACAACCCGGTCGGTGCGGCCCGCTTTTTGGTGACGGTATAGTGGGTTGTCAGGATGCTTGTCCGTCACATTGACTTGCATCCGGCACGTGCACGGGAAAAGAAGATTAGAATCAGCCCATACTCAGTAAGATGCTGGTTATTCAATTTCAATCTCGAATTGGGCTTTTTTAGATTAGGCCAGTTAGGCACATTGTCCAATTTATCAAGGTGTGTGCTGTCATTCGCTTAGCGGCCTTGACGATCGGCAGGTTATAAACCATATTGATGTAGAACCAGAAGAGTCGGCCGCATTTGCATTTGCATTTGCGGTCTTTTTGGTTAGTCTTTTTCACATGTCTTTCTAGACGTTTAGTGTGGTTTTTTTTTGTTTTTTTTCACAGATATTCTCTCCTTGTCAGTTTTGTAAACGGTCGATATGGAAAGGGGCTCTGCGAGGAAGAACTTATCTAACCAAGTTGCTACCTTGGGGGCCCATGGTGACAAACTTGGGCCCGCTCAGGAAGACTATAACGCGGATTGAAACTTCAAATTAAAGTGTGAACTAAAGTCCCCAACCTTGAATTCATACTCCTAATAGGGCCCTTAGGTAGATGTCTTAAAATCCAAAGACTAAATCGCTGCCGAGGTGACAGAAGTTGTAAATTACTCCGTAGTTTTCTTCCTGATTGCTTCAGCCATTTTCCTAATCGGGGAATTCCAATTTCACAAGTCTCCCTGAGCCTTTTATGAGTCGCCACGAGCTGGAACCTAACCCTCCGTGGAGAGATCTTGCAATTAGCTGGATTCGTCTACGATACCGCAATTGTGCGTTTTGATAATAGGATATTCGGACAATCTTCGGCTCCACACGGGTGAAACTATGTCTCCCGTCGGATCTTTTACTTACTTAGGAAGACCGTGCAATTGCCCACTGCCTTTATAATTATACAACAGGTATGTTGTATGAGTTTGAAGTGGGGATCTGGATTATGGATCAAGGCAACCCCTGTCCATTCAGTGGTGAAGATGGGTAGAACGATTTGTGCAGAAATTCCGGATTTCCCACGCTGCACTCTATAAAAAAAAAAGGTTGCCCAGAATGGGAGTCTGATAAGCAAGCAAAGATTCTAGAAAAGGAGAGGAGGATACTACTTTTTTTCCCTTAACATTCTTTCCTCCTGTCCTACTGCCGGATAATTCTTTCTCGACTTCACCTACCCATTAGAAGGTGTTGATCAAACAGGCCACCCCACTGATTTGCCGCAATGAAGATGACCGACGAAGTTACTCTCGCGGAATATCTTTTCCTCAGACTGCATCAGCTCGGAGTGCGTAGCGTTCACGGTGTTCCTGGTGACTACAACCTAGTTGCTCTAGATTATGTTGAACCTTCAGGACTACACTGGGTGGGTAATGCCAACGAACTCAATGCTGGATACGCAGCCGATGGCTACGCCAGGATCAAGGGCATCTCGGCATTGATGACTGCATTTGGAGTTGGAGAATTGTCTGCCCTGAATGCGATTGGTGGAGCATATGCAGAGAAGGCCCCGGTGGTCCATATTGTCGGTGTCCCATCCACGTCGTCCCAGGATCAGGGTCTTGTTCTACACCATTCATTTGGAGATGGAAATTTCCGCCTGAATGCAGAGATCTACGCCAAGTTCACTTGTGCGCAGGCCAATCTGAGAACTGTCGAGACTGCCCCTGCCTTGATTGATGAGACTCTGCGTCAATGCCTGCTCCAAAGCAGACCTGTCTATATTGAACTGCCCACCGACTTGGTCAAGGCTCGCATTCCCGCTAGCAAGCTCAAACGATCCATTGATCTATCGGTTGCTCCAAATGACCCAGGGATTGAGAATGCTGCCCTTGAAGATATCCTCACGCGATTATATGCGGCCAAACAGCCCTTCATTGTTGTCGACGGCTTTGCCCCACGGTATGGAATAAGTTCCGAGGCAGATGAGCTCGTGCGTGTCACTGGAATTCCATCCTCAACAACACCATTTGGAAAAGGAATAATCAACGAGACATACCCAAACTTCCATGGGGTTTTCGCAGGAGCTGCAGGCAAGGAGGCATATGTGTCCTGGGTGAACTCCTGCGACCTCGTTATCCGCATTGCACCATTAAATGCAGACACCAATACCTACAGCTTCACTACGTTGACCCCCCGGAACGTGACCATTGAGGTGCACCAGAATGGGGTGGAGGTTTGTGGAGCTCTCTATCGTGATCTGAACACCAAACCCCTCTTGCGGAAACTGCTTGATCGTCTGGATACATCAAGGCTGCCCCGACTGAGCCCGTACCCGAACCTTGGAGATCCCCAAACGGAGCTTGGTGAGCTTGCAAAGCCGGCTCGCGATGCAATCATTGACCAAGAGACCTTCTGGCAGCGCATTTCACACTTCTTCCGCTCTGGCGACATTGTCATGACCGAAACCGGCACTTCATCTTCCGGCGGAAAGGACTTTGTCTTGCCTCCAAAAACAACGGTGATCAACTCCGCCCTCTGGCTTTCGATCGGGTACATGCTTGCTGCCAGCAGCGGTGCATCTCTCGCTCAACGTGAGATGATCTCGGAAAAGAGCCGTCTAAACGGTCGAACTATTCTATTCGAAGGCGACGGCAGTCTCCAGATGAGTGTGCAAGCGATTGGAGATATCATTCGCAACCGTCTGGATATAACAATTTTTGTGATCAACAACAATGGCTACACCATCGAACGCTATATCAACGGCATGCACGCGGGATACAACTGGGTCCAGCCCTGGCGGTATCTGGAGTCAGCGCGGTACTTTGGGGCTCCCGAGAACGATCCCGAGTACCCGGTGTTCAATAAGCGAGTCGAAAACTGGGGCGAATTGTTGGATGTTATGCAGAATAAGCAGCTGAAAGCTGGCAAGGGCTTTAATATGGTGGAAGTTGTCATGAATGAAGAAGACGCGCCGTATTCATTGAAGAGCCTTGTGCGAATGGCGGCAAAGAGAAATGAAGGTCGTGCTCCACCGACCCATCAAGAGTCAAAGAGAGCCAGGGACGACAACGTGGTGGATTCTGCTGCCCCTGCAACACGGAAAGTTGAGGCGAAAAAGAAAAGGAGAAGAATCTAGAATCGGTTAATTTAAATCAGAACAAATCCCTTGGGTCCTTTTTCCCTGCAATCCGTCGAGAAGGATGTAGTTCTGGCAATCAGGCTGGATGGATTGGATAGCAGCAACGTCATTCGCGCTATCTGAACTGCAAACCCACCTTAATAGTGAATTCGTTGCTTCGTGGCTTCATAATTTCATCCTGTGTCTCTGTCGAAGACGTCGACCGGCACCACTAAAATCAGCCACCAATTGCAGCTATTGAAATACGTGAAACGCACGGGCGACCTTTCCATTCTTGTATTCATCGAGTTACTCTACCCCCCTGCGTGTAATGGCAACTCCCACCCGGAAAATTAGAGGCACGAAAGCGTTGACAGAGTGGGCGCTTATTAGATCCGAATAGGGGATTTTGTGGAGGGTTTGGACCCAAGATTATTTTGACGGCTCTTCGTCTCCAATGTCGGTTGTTCAGAGGCCTTTTGTGGAAATTTGGCTTGTGGGTGGTGCATTGGTCATGTCTTCAATCTGAGACCGGGCTTTGTTGCTCGTAATTCGTGAGATCCAGGTTGCTTCCTGCCCTCCTTCTATGCAAGGTATGTATCTGTTGTTCTCGGATTCTGCGAGTAGAGCCATGGTCTATGGATGGGTCTTTTAGGTGGTCCTCTCTAACAAGAGCTTTGACTTCTCCTTTGATTGGGTCTGTGAGGGGTTGTGCGGCGTTGTTGACAAGTATATCAAGGGACTGTGGTGTGTCAGATGGAGTCTCACCATCCCAAGCACAGAGTAGTAATTTGACAATGTGTACCAACCAGAAAGCATCATTTGCTGTTCTGAAAGCTGCCCCGACTACTTTCATTCTTTTCCCCCCTTGACCAATGTCTGGCTCCGTGGGATATCGAACTGTAGCATCAGCTGGATATCGAGATGATATGATGACCTTAGCTCCACACCGGGAAAGTCTCAACGCAGTGAAGTAACCCAGGTTTATTCTCCCTCCAGTAACCAGTGCAATTTCGCCGGTGAGATCTAGTTTTTCTGGTAGAGAGAGAGAGAGAGAGAGAGACTCAAGCAATCGATATTAAACATACCGCATTGGCGACATAGTGACGGGTATAGTTCGTGAGAATCAGTGAGCGAGAAGCGGTGACGACAGATGTAACGTCTCTTCTTCAGATCTGAGGTTTTTGGTGCATCAGTTCTCTGAAATTATTCATGTTGTCTGTATCGAGTTTCGGAGAGTTGGCCTCGCACGGCTAGAAGAACCTCAGACAGAGGCTCTGTTGGAGCAACCACTTTGTGCTTTTGAAGACAATCCAGCACTTTGAGTGTGATCTTTAATTGGTCTGATGTTGGAACATGCATACTATCCATGGAAATTTGCTCCTTGGGTCTTGCCATCACTTCCAATTGGGCTAGGTAGGCCTTGATGCCTTTAATTATGCTGTTGCATCTAGTCGACCGCAATGCTTTGGAAGCTTCACTGTGAGGAGTGAGATGCCAGGCTATCTCATCAAAGACATCATCTGGAACTGATGATGGTTGGATTGCTAGAATACTAGGCACTCTTCTCTCTTTGCAGGCCTGCTGGTCTTGTCGTACGCGCTTTGCGATTTTCTCCGCGTCTGGCAGGTGCGATCCGTGAAGTTCTTCCTCCAGCGTAGTGTTCGAAATAGATGTTCGAGGAAAAAACACCGAAATGGATAGAAAGGCGTATCGGGAGAGGTAAATCGAAGCTTAGGATGACTCATCGGAAATGACTCAGGATATATATTGTCCTCGGCCCTCCACAAAGAAGCCTTATCGTGTGAGGCTCCGCAACATCCTTTGTGACCCTGCGTAGTCTTCTTCAATGTCTTTTCTCTAATCATGTCCTTCAAAAACAACAGACGTGATAAAAATGGGCAATCAAAGAACACCCACTAGTTCCACAGTCCGCAATGTTGCAGCTGTGCCAACCGAGCTCGCCCATTAAATCATCGATGACTTGGGGAAATGAGACGTCCTCAAGTTGCTTTGCTATGATAATGATCAAGTGAACGCCTATATTATGTCCCATCCAATCTGCCGCAACCTGTTCGGTGCCGAACCAGAAGATCTAGCAACATCGAAATTCGGTGCCCACGTCTACCAGGATTAGATTGACGGCAGCGAGAAAGGTACTTGTGGGATCATCATGGGGTGGAGTAAGTTATCTTGGGACAAATATCCACTGCCTAATGCCTCAAAAATACGGAGGGATCTTGGTCTATATGAAGAACCGCATCTTCTGGACGAGGGCTTTGAGTAGGATCAGTTGAGGGCAGATAATAACACTAGCTTTGGTTCACCATAGAACCACGTTGACAACTATGTGGTGTTGCTTCATGCGTGGCTATTGAGTTAGTGTAGTCTCGCATGGGGGCAGGTGATAAGAACATGGGCATAGCAAAGGGTCGCAGCGGTTATGGATTTTCACCCTACCTTTTGTTCAACGGTGATGTTTGGGATTGTCTATATAGGGTGTTCTAAGAGCCCCGTATCAGCATCGCACTTCAGAGAAGTATGAAATAGCACCACTGCCGAGAAATGATCTACATGATCAACAACCAAGATCGTATGTGTAGAAGAATTGAAGGCAGAGAAGAAAGAGAAGAAAGAGAAGAAAGAGAAGAAAGAGAAGAAAAATATCAACTAAAACAACGTGGAAGCAACTGACAGATGATTTGTCGAAAAGGATTGTCGCCACACACTATTTTTCATCACTAGGTCCCCCCTACACTTTCCACTAATCGGAGCTCTGCCCCCGAGGCCGCATCATGCAAAACGACAGGTATGCAGAGAATGACAACAAGGTAGTTAGGTTTCTGTATGATCATGTGTAAATCCAAACACAACTCTGGTAATTTATTAACAGCCAGGCATCGTTTCTTTGTCTCCTATGTAACGCTGCGCCTGGGAGTGTCTGCGTGCGCTTCTGCAGTTGTCCCGCGGAACCCGTTCAGGCTGTCTGTGGATGGAGAATCATTTGGTGGTCTCTCTCTCTTCTGCAAAGACGCTAAGCTTATTGATCTTGGTGACCCAGCCATCTCAACTGCTCCGACTACCTCCAGTAGATACTGTCATTGAGATCCTCTGACCCACTGTCATGAGGATCCATTAACGCGCTACCGACCCTCAATCTTAGTGGTCTACTTCATATGTTTTCAGACAATCGTATCTAGAAATTCCATAGCGCTCCCTACCAGATGAAGACTTCCAGTGATCAGTACCACCCCGTTGATATGGTCTTCATCCTTGCAAAAAGGATGACCATGGCCATGAGCTGCTTGGTGGATCGCCTCTTCTACTGTTCGCACCACGGTCACTTCGGACTCTCCCCCACTGATCGTAGTCCAACACGCCGCTAATTCATGCTGCAATCTCAGATCATCCACCGAGTCTCCCGAGTAGGTCATAGAGACTCTTTCAAGATCTGGAGCTTCATGCCGTTCCCACAAGATGTTTGTGCAGAAAATGACCTGGTGGAAAACCACTTCTGTGTCGTTGAGCAATTGGGATGCCGCTGATACCAGGATCTGGCGGAGATGTCGAAGAAGGGCGACAGCATCCTTGGTCTGTTGATTAAAGATCAGGACACGCCGTGCCTGCCGCTGCGCCGCCATCATTTTGGCCACCCAAGGCCCCAACACGTCAATACTTTCTATGGTATGGGCTCCATCGAGCAGCCAACGGATTCCTTTATGGTCACGCGTCTCACATCTTCCCGGCCATCGCGCATTTTCGAGACCCCGGCGGAATTTCTTAGGCAATGGAGATTGCATCAATGTCGCTGTCTCTGGGATATCATTGTAACCCATGCGAGATAGGTGTTTTGCAGCGACCACCACCGCCAGACTAGCATTGATCCGCTGGAAGTCTCCTGCAAGACCAAGCTCAATGTGATCAAGGTCTGGATGGGCCGTGACAACTTGTAGATCGACACCTTCCGTCTGTGCTAGATCCTCCAGGACGGCCATGGCTCCAGGCTCCTGCGGCGCGGTGAACAAGGGGGTCCCTGGTTTCATTATTCCTCCCTTGGCCCATGCAATTCTCTCGATTGTGTGACCAAGGATGTCGGTATGTTCGAGGCCCAAACTACTGATTGCGCAGACGCTGGGCTGGCGGAGGATGTTGGTCGAGTCATAGCGTCCTCCAATACAAACCTCCACCACCGCCGTTTCGACTTTCTCCTGGATGAAGGCATGGAGACCCATTAGGGTGAGGAATTTCGCAAAGGATGGGCTCTGGGATGGCGGTCGATTATCCATTCCTAATCGATCCCATATGTCTGAAAGATAGTGCGCAAATTTCCCTTCATCAAGAGAGGTCTCCATGAATGTGGTCCTCTGTGACTCTCGAATCCGGATCCGTTCCCGTACGCTGCGTAGGTGCGGCGATGTATAAAGGCCAATCTTACCCAGTGGAGCTGGGGATTGGTCCCCCAAACCACTTCCATCCGTTGAATACTCGGCCAATATCGAGAAGATAAAGGCTGCCGTGGAACCTTTGCCTTTGGACCCGGCAATGTGGATGGCGTTCAACGCGTCGAAATCAGCTGGCTAATTACATGTCTAACGATCAATTTCCAGGTCTCACTGGGGAAGTGCGGCGCTGAAGAAGCTCACCTTGTATCCAATTTCCTCGCACCAGTCTACCATTTGCTGTAAGAGGAAGCTTCGGTCTTTGACTCCAATAGCCTGTTTTCGCGATTCAAAATTTGTGCGCAGACGGTTTAGTCGATGGAGGGCATTCTAGTCAGCTATCAGCCTTGATCTTGGGTCTAAGCAATTTGAGTTCCAACCTGATAAAGCTGCCGAGGTGATTGCGACTCCTCGGTCTGGGTGAGAGGAGCGCATTGTGCTATAATTGATGGGGCCATTTTACCCTATTTTTGGTAGGGGCACGATTGAAGATCGGAGCACACCGTGTTGGATCTTATCGTTGACGCTTCGAATGAGATCAAAGTCCTGGTTATCAGTCACAACTTGTGGTTCACAAGTAGCGCAATCGAGAACAAAACGAAAGGACTTAATTTGTTGATGTTTTTGTCCGTGGGGGATCGGCGCCGCAGCCACAAAATCTCCAATTTTTTTTCCCCCGCTTAGTGAGTGTCGATTGATCTATACAACGCGACCTTCACTGAGCCCCTATGCTGATGATCTATCTCACTGAAAATATGCTAACAAATCTCTTCCCTCCCTCCCCCAAAAATTGTTGAAGTGGGACATCTCTTTGAATGTGTCCAAACTGTGTTTTGGCGCCCTTTGTCGAAACCGTTAATCATGCAATCGAAGCAATCATCTTTTGGTCACGTCGAGGTGCACCGTTTCCCATTTATCACTGCAGCCGTATTTTGTCTTTGGTGGAGAATTTCAGTACAAGGAAACTAAATGACCCGCTTCATCCCTACATTGTGCTGTAGTCTCTCTGTTCGTGTCGAGGTGGGTCTGCGGGGGCTGAGGGTCTGTGTAATTCAGGCGGAAACTCAAGCTGCTAGTTACTTAAGTACCTTAGTAACTAAATAGTTACACATCTTTGGGTATACCAAACATACTATCCTATAAGCATTTGACCGTTAGGTAAGCCAAAAGATCATCACGACAATCGGAACATCCGACTATCGCTGCATCAGTATATGTGACGACGGATGTTTTGCACATTCAGCCGCTTGAGGCATTTGCGGAATCGTGGAAAACTACGAATCAGTTTGGAGAAGGAAAGAGGATACTTGGTCGAAGAAAAGGTACGAGATATCCGAGGGATAACAAAAGTATACCATCTGCTCATCCTTGCCATCCTATCTGTGTAGGAAGCAGATCAGTTATTATTGATGAAGGGACGAAGCAGGCCATGTGTTAGATACTGGGTATTGGGAGATGCGCCTGTACTCTTGCAGTTTCCAACCCGGCCCGATACGCTAGATGGTTTTGTGTAGCGCCGACCATAGTTCTCCATTCCCTGCTTGAGATATCCATGCCTCCAACGATGAAAGCCAGTGACGATGAATAACCACTCTCCAGTGGCATCACCGACTAAGCCAATGTGAGGCTGAAATAGTAGTTCAGTTGCACCTAAGCTATACCGGGTATCACGTGTCGAGGCACGGATCAGGTCTTGTGTTGATCAAAGCGGGAAGCCAACCCCGGACAGTTTTCTGCGTGAATACATACAATCGACTTGCATCACCTCTATCAAACGCCGCATTCCACTCGTTGGATGGGTCAAATGTGTCACCCGACGATAAGATTGTTCGTTTTGCCCAGCTTCTAGGGGGCGATCAACATTCTTTACCGGCAGGGCGTCTGGCACACATCCTTGTGAGAAGCTACAATCCACCAGGCGCAAAGCTATCCAATATCGGATGCCCATCTCTTGCAACAAACATCCCGTATGATAGGGCAGACACTTGACAATCTCTTGCACCCGCGCAGATCAAAAAGAACCCTACAATCGAGCCGCTGATTCTTGGGGATGTGGTCGAATCGGATTGGAGCTGATTCCTTGGCCTCACCGATTATCAAGAGCTTCTTGGGGGGGTGACGACAAAACTCGCCATGAGCCAGATGTGCCAGAAGGGGCCCCATGCTCACGCAAGACGGCTACTAATGCTTTGCTCTACCTCAGCCC